TCTCCATGCTAGCAATGTCTTCACTTTTGTGGCCACATTACGTCTTGTTCAGGATCCCATTAGATCTATACCCGATGTTATTGGGATAGTCATTCAAGCAAAGGTTGCATTTGCGCGTGTTGTGAAATTCCTTGAGGCACCAGAGCTGCAGAGTGCAAATGTCCGGCAAAAACACCATATGGAGAATGCCGACTTAGCCATTTTTATTAAATCAGGGGGATTTTCCTGGGAAGAGAATTCTTCAAAACCCACTTTAAGAAACATAACTTTAGAGGTTAGGATGGGGGAAAAAGTGGCTGTATGTGGAGAAGTTGGCTCTGGTAAGTCAACCCTGTTAGCCGCAATTCTGGGGGAAGTCCCTAACGTCCAAGGATCTGTAAGTCATTAAATTTGATTCTTTATAAATGATGGAATGCATTTAGCCTTTCCTTTTAGCATATTGTTGCCTTTCATCTTCTTTCTTAGCGGGTCTAAAAGCATATAGGTGGGCTCAATCTTGTTTCTTCTTTCATGAAGATAAAGTTAGTTTTACTGTTAGTAATATGCTCCATTGTCCAATGTACAGATTCAAGTATTTGGAACGATTGCCTATGTTTCTCAAACAGCCTGGATCCAGACAGGAACGATACAAGGGAACATATTATTTGGGTCTGCCATGGATAGGCGACGATATGAAGAAACACTTGAGAGGTGTTCCTTGGTGAAGGACCTTGAGTTGTTTCCCTATGGTGATCAAACCGAAATAGGTGAAAGAGGAGTCAATCTTAGTGGTGGTCAGAAACAGCGAATTCAACTTGCTCGTGCTCTCTATCAGGATGCTGATCTATATCTCTTGGATGATCCATTCAGTGCCGTGGATGCCCACACAGCTACAAGTTTATTTAATGTAACCACAATCTGCTGTCACACTGCAACTTTTCTTTTATCAACTTATGTGAAAGCTGACTTGGATCGTTGCAGGAATATGTTATGGAAGCACTTTCAGGGAAGGCGGTTTTACTTGTGACCCATCAAGTTGATTTCCTACCTGCTTTTGATTCTGTTTTGGTTAGTATATATTCCTGGAATATAGGATTGTGTTTTCTTTGTTCCCTATGAACATTCTTTGGAATTTCTTTTTCTAATAAAAAATTTTATTGTAATGTTGATTCTATTGACAGTTAATGTCAGATGGGGAGATCCTGCAAGCAGCTCCTTATCATCACTTAATAGCTTCTAGTCAAGAATTTCAGGACCTTGTCAATGCACACAAAGAAACTGCTGGGTCTGGAAGAGTTGCTGAAGCTAACTCTTCCAAGAGACATGGAACATCCACCAGAGAGATCAAGAAGAGTTATTTGGAAAAAAAGTTTAAAGCATCAAAAGGTGATCAACTGATCAAGCAAGAAGAAAGGGAAAGAGGAGATATAGGGTTTAAGCCATACATACAGTATCTCAATGAGAACAAAGGCTTTTTGTTCTTCACCATTTCTGCTTTTACTCACCTTTTGTTTGTGGGCTGTCAGATATCACAGAACTCTTGGATGGCTGCTAATGTCGACAATCCTAATGTCAGCCCATTGAAACTGATCGGAGTTTATTTGGTGATTGGATTTTCATCAACACTATTGTTGCTTTGTAGATCCCTTTCTACCGTTACCTTGGGTATTAGATCTTCAAAATCTCTATTTTCACGGCTACTAAATTCCCTTTTTCGTGCACCTATGTCATTTTATGACTCCACTCCTCTGGGAAGGATACTAAGTCGGGTAAGCATCCCACTCACCGAATATGGATGTGACTGAAAATGATTCAAGTAACTCATATTTATACCTTCTTTCTTTGCATATAGGTATCTTCAGACCTGAGCATTGTTGATCTTGATGTCCCATTCAGCTTAATCTTTGCTGTTGGGGCTACCATAAATGCTTATAGCAATCTTGGAGTTCTGGCTGTTGTTACCTGGCAAGTCCTATTTGTTTCAATACCGATTATCTATGCAGCAATTCGCTTACAGGTAACATTACAAGTTTTTTACCAGAGATAGACTTAGCAGGAAGGAACAGTTCCTTCATCTGCTTTGAAATCTGACAAATTCAATATGCCATTATGTAAATATGACTAACCTTGAAAATTTTTATGTTCTGTATAGAAATATTATTTCTCCACTGCAAAAGAGTTGATGAGGATAAATGGCACAACCAAATCCTTGGTAGCAAACCATCTAGCTGAGTCAATAGCAGGAGCCATTACAATAAGGGCTTTTGAAGAGGAAGAGCGGTTCTTTATAAAGAACCTTGACCTCATTGACACTAATGCTAGTCCTTTCTTCCATGGTTTTTCCGCAAATGAATGGTTGATCCAGCGGTTAGAGACACTTAGTGCTACCGTTCTTGCCTCTGCTGCACTCTGCATGGTTTTTCTTCCTCCGGGCACTTTCAGTTCTGGTTAGTAGAAGAAACTGTCAATCTCTTATACTCATTCAAGAATCTTATGTCAATAAATCTTTTAGGAGACAAAGCCACTGTCTTTTCCATATCAATCTATAACAATCTTATTGCAGGGTTTATTGGCATGGCTCTTTCCTATGGTCTTTCATTGAATATGTCCCTTGTATTTTCAATTCAAAACCAATGCACCGTAGCAAATTACATCATTTCTGTAGAAAGGCTTAACCAATACATGTATATACCAAGTGAAGCCCCTGAAGTGATAGAGGAGAATCGTCCTCCATCCAATTGGCCAGCTGTGGGTAAAGTCGATATCTGTGATTTGCAGGTATAATTTTTCCTTTTGTTAACATACATAAAATAACTTCTATTCAGCACCAGTTAGTATACTGAGAAAATTTATTCAAGCAGATCAGATATCGGCCCGATGCACCATTAGTTCTTCGAGGCATCAGTTGTACATTTCAAGGAGGGCACAAGATTGGTATTGTTGGCCGAACTGGCAGTGGGAAGACAACACTAATCAGTGCTTTATTCCGTTTGGTTGAGCCAGCTGGAGGGAAGATAATAGTTGATGGCATTGACATCTCTACTATTGGCCTTCACGATCTGAGGTCGCGTTTTGGAATAATTCCTCAGGATCCTACCCTTTTTAATGGAACTGTGAGATACAATTTGGATCCTCTATCCCAACATACTGACCGGGAGAAATGGGAGGTAAAATTTGACTTTTTTTGGCCAATGATTTCTTGCTTCCTGTAACGCTAAGAATATTTTGGATTAGCTAATTTTTCGTCTGTATTTTAAGGTTCTTGACAAGTGCCAACTTCGAGAGGCTGTTCAGGAAAAGGAAGAGGGACTGGACTCCTTGGGTAATTATCTGAAATTTGATCATGTTGTATGTTTGTTCTTTTCATGGTCACTATTCACTGACAAAAAACAACTGGTCATGCAGTTGTGGAAGATGGATCGAATTGGAGCATGGGACAACGGCAGCTGTTTTGTTTGGGCCGTGCACTCTTGAGGAGAAGTCGAATATTGGTACTTGATGAAGCAACTGCATCAATTGATAATGCAACTGACTTGATTTTACAAAAAACTATCCGCACCGAATTCGCAGATTGTACTGTTATCACAGTGGCACACAGGATACCAACTGTTATGGATTGCACGATGGTACTTGCCGTCAGTGATGGTGAGTTTCTTTAATGCTGACCTGAGAATTAGCCTTTACTTACGAATGTGCTTTGCACTCAATGCGCAGGCATCTTTCAATAATTTGACAACCTAGCTTTTGATACATGGGCATTATATTGCCTCATTTGCGGTTTTCCTTCTGACATTTTGTTTTTAAAACTCATCCTTTCCCTGGATCAGAGTCCCTTGGACAATCAAACTCCAAATGGCAGAGCCCTCTACTTGAAGATTAAGCAGGGCCGGCCTTTTGCTAGTAGATTCGGCTTTGAAAATGGGGGAACTTTTCTTGTGTCTTTTTTACTGATAACAAAATCACGTATGAATGAATGTTGTTTTTGTTATATTTCAGGCAAACTCGTGGAGTACGATGAGCCAACGAAGTTGATGGAGAGAGAAGGTTCGCTGTTTGGGCAACTTGTCAAGGAATACTGGTCCCACTATCAGTCTGCAGAGTCGCATTGAAGTTCATAAACTTTTCATCGGCCAATTCATATCATCCCAGCTCGATGGAAAGATGTGCAATTAGGAAATAGGATATGTAGATTAAATAAAGTTGCTGGGTCTAAGAGGAAAGGAGAGGAAACAGAAATTCTTGTTCTAGGTTTTCTAGATTTCCTCAAGTCTGCCAGGCTGGGAATCTGAAGAACTACAACACAGGACACATGATTTACTTATTAGCTTTAGAGGAAGCTGGAGCAAGAAGGAGAGAGGACGAGATTGTGTAGATGCCTTCATACACCATTCTGCCTTATTGCTTTCAAGAGTTTACTTAGAACTTCTCCAATGCTGCAAAGGTCGGACAAGTAGTACACTCGAGTGCCACATTATATTCAGAGCGAAAAGCAATGGACTAGCATTGCTAGATAAGATGCGTTTCTAGCGTCAGAGAATATAATGTAATAGCTTGTGACTTCTTTCTTATCTACTTAGCAGTTGTACTCTGTTCTCTGAGATATTCAGACCTATTCCTGAGCTTCTCGGCTTTTCCTAAAGTTGCAGAATTGGAATCACCACAAAGCAAAAATGAAAAGATAACTTGGAAACTGGGAAAACAAGCATCATGATGATAATGGGTGATGCATCTTTCAATCTGAAATCAATGATAAAAACGTACATCAATTGGTCATAATGCCCATTACTTGCTTAGCACAATTTAAGAGATTGTCACCTTAGCTAGAGGGTTATGAAAAATTAGGTAGAAAATTACAACCAGCAAGGAGAAAAGGTATGGCATCATAGAAAAAAGATTGCAGTTTTATGAAACCTTCAAAGTTTAGCATGTGGATAAACTAACTGACATCTTAAACACTATGCAACTGCTTGAGTGAAGTTATACATTTGCAGGAACTAACCATTGGTCTTCATGGTCCTCCAAGTATTGCATTTTCTATATCCTCTCTACTCAATGCATAACTAAATCTCCTTTCCACATCTCTTTCAAGATTCCCAGGTCCACTCTTCAAGTACCTGCAGTGTATGATACATTCTTCTCAGTTCAATCATAGAATAAATTTTTGTTAAAAGCTGAGAAGTATGATGTATAACAATTTCCACTGACGTTTCTTCATTCCCCAATCCAGTTTCCCCCTCATGTATGGTGTACATTAAATTAAATTAAACCAACATCGTCAAGGAATCAAGTGCGGCCAGCTAAAACTCAAACAATCTCCTAATGAATTTCACTAAATAGAAATAATTCCTTTTAGCAGTTTGTCTAAGAGAGAGATATGGCTTGCTCCAACCTCAGAAGCAAGATACACAAAGAAAAATCAGATTTCAGCCAAGGTCAAGAGAGAATTAAGCATTCTCTTCTAAGAACTCCATCAGTTAACATCATAAAGCTTTCTCTCATTCTCTCTAACTATAAGTATCGATTTTCCGGCATAACTCCTTTTCCTCTTTGTTTCTGACTTTCTATGCACCTCTCTTAATTAATTCTGCTTCAATGAGAAAATGTGCATCAAAAAACAGCAAATAGGGATTTAACATTCATAGTTTTTGCTCCATTAAGTCCAGGTGGAGTTGCAAGAAGGGAGCTAGAGCAGCAATAGCATCCCCGCACCAATGGTTGTGATCACCAGTCGTGTTACCACTTGTAGAAAGTGAAAATGGCCAGACCTTCCCAACTTTATCTCGATCCTTGATCACTGCTTTTGAATGCAGAACATCCATTCAACTTCAGTTATGCTGCAAAGCATTCTGTTTAATTTCCACCTCATACAGAACTTGGTCAAGCCAATTAAAATTTTGCCATTACCATCTCCGATTGTTAGTATTTCACATAAACCACTTTAACATATAATGAAGCCTTTTCAGTCTATAGTGCTACAACACCTAAAACTTATGAATTTTATATACAAATCTTATGTTATTCATTAGAACTTAAACTACAAAAACATATGTATGAGATTTTGAGCTCCTTAAAAATCGAATAAGTCCAATGCTTAAATCTAAATCTTCATCATCCATTGAATGGTTGTGATCTAACGGAATAAGTCATCCAAAGCCTCATGACATCTAGCCCAAATAAATTCAAGAAAGGAATAGAACACGTAACCTTCAACAGTCTAACAGAATGCTCCACAATGGAAATTAGGCAACAACCATTTAGCGAAAAAGGATATATATAGACAAATCCTCAAAAAACAGCTGCAGCAAGGGACTAAAATGACAGGAGGGAGATCTTTCTAATCTCATCTAGCTACATTGTTGTTTTTCCTATAGTTTTTCTCACGCATACAGCAAATGCCCATTGCCCCTTATCAGAATATAGTTTCAGCAAAGCAACACCAGCTACCTCATGCAAATCAAATGCTAATGAATTTTGTTCCTGTTCACGTAATTTATCAGGAGAAAAACCAATTTACACCATTTCAAAAATTCTTAAAACCAGATCAACAATCAATCCAAATAAATATACCCATATAAAACTAAACAAATAGTAAAACACACACACACACACACACAATACCCAGATAAAGAAACCGCTTGAAATCCAAAAAAAAAAAAATAATAAATAACTTTACCTTATATATAGATCAGTGACATCAAGAGATAACTGGGCATGCCAATCAGGTTTTTCAATCAACCAAACAGCACGGTCCTCACTGCTTTGATAAAACCCTAAGCTCCTAAGCCATGCTTCAATGCAAGGCAAGCTGTGAGAGTAAAGGGGCTTGTTCTTATCTGGGAGTCTGTTGAGCCACTCATCTTCGGCCGTTGGCACTTCCCCCGCTTCTGATGATTTTGAAGAAACAAAGGTTAAAATTTTCCTTCGAGAGTGAGAAACAGAGTGAGGAAAGGGTAGAGATTTATGGAGTAGAGAAAAACAGGGGAGTTTTGGAGTAGCAGCTGAGGCTTGTGTTATTGATGAAAGAAAATCAGTAATGATTAAATTCGAGACTGAAAAAGCAGACATGGTTTTCTTTTTGGTTCTTGTAATTTTAATTGTTAGTACTTCTCAATTGCTTAAATTTTTTGTCGATAATTTGTTAAAAATATAAATTTTCATGAGTTTTTCGTGTAGAATGTGGCAAACTGGGTTCAAGTGGATGCTAAAACCCCATTGCCATATCTTCTTCATGTATATACGGTTGGGACTGGGGTCAGGGGATTTTCTTTTTCCTTTTTATAAAGAATTCTTTATCTAGAAAAATAAAAATAAATAGTAATAATAATAAATAAAAATACCCTAAAAAATGTAAAAATGAAAATTTCTGTGTTTCAATAGTGAACTGAAATTTTCATAAAACCTTATGAAATTATATTAATTATTATGTTAATTACATTTTAATGATTAAAATTTGAACTTTAAATTTAATTAAAAATTTCCAATTTGAAAACTTGGAAAATTAAATGTTATGGGATTAGGAGACCAAAAAAAAAAAAGGCTATTCACTTGATTCTTAAAAAGTTAATTTCACGAATATATTCGCCGTCGAGCATAAATCTGAGTAATTTCTTCGTTCATTTGAGCCAAATAAAAACGAATTGGTACAAGTAATTATTTAACAATGAATTTATTGTATAGCATTAAAATTTTTTTTTTCTCGCTTGGACTTAGCATCTCAAAGTCCTAGAGCATTGTAAAACACCTGATGAACTTGTCAATTCTTTAACTGATCTAGCTTCGGCAACCTTAAAACTCTGTTCCTGGTTATAATATGGCTTCGCCCCACCTAGTCCTGTTTGCTTACTGAAAGATGCTCCATTTTCGAAAATATCCCCCACAGAATAGAATTTCCATGAAGCTTTGTCTGCCTTGTTGCCTTGTCTCCATGTTACCTATTTGAACGTAATATGGATTCAGAGTCAGTCATTAATTCAAATTCGGAGCGAAATATTTCACACAGAAAACAAGACTTAATACTAGTGGTGGTGTTTACCTCCTTATTGCCCGATTTTGGAGCAATGAAAAGGTTGCATTCACTCTTGATGCTGGGGCTCATGCTCCCACCGATGGCATATTGTTCCCATCCCTGGTAGAGATTGTTGGCTACATGCGCGTATCCATGGCGTATTCTGTAATGTAGTTAATATAGCAATAAGTTACAAATATGGATATTTGAATTTCATATTTACTCGATGTCAAAAGATTATTTAAATTAATGAGTTGAATTTTGAATTCGTGTAAATAAACAATTTATTACTTATAATTAGTTTACGGACAGATACTAAACAATTAAAACTTGGAGCTTAATTATTATTACCTTGGCATTCGTTGGTTGCAGTTAGGTCCAAAATGGTTAAATATGACAGTGGCCTTCATGTTCCTGTCTCTCAAATGCCCATCATCATGCCCAAGAAGCATGACTTTGTCCTGATTTCTGAACCAATTGTTAGAGATGGTAACCTCGGTCGAACCACGAGTGACGTCAAGGAGACCGTCTTGGCACTCATACAACGTATTGTGATCTATCCACACTTTCCTTGCAGTGACCAATCTGATGGCATCCCCATCCATCTGACCAAGGGGTATCACCTTCGAATCTGGACCCATCACAGAACTAGGTGGCTGTGACTTGCAATGGTGGATGCGCAACCCATGGATGATTACATCTGTCGCCTGATACACCAAGAGGCAACCTGCGCCTGTAATATGAACGTCAACACCACGGCCATCAATGGCGGTGAAGCTGCTAATAAGAAGTGGCCTCTGGAGTGTGACGTGCATGTTCCTTTTGAAAGTGATCCATACTTTTCCCTTGATCATGGTGACTCCATGACGAAGGGTCCCTGGCTTAGGGTTTAGAGGGTCATCAGAAGAATCGGTGACCATATAGCGTACAACACCTTTACCGGTGTTGTTAGTCATTTTGCCAGCAAAACCAACAGAGCACTTGGCCAGCTGTTGCCGGTTACTCCGCCAATCAGGATTCTCTCTCCAGCATCTATCAATCACATTCATCTTAGCCAAACTGGCATTAGGAATTGCCAGGAGAATGACCATGAAGAGGGTCAATGTGAAGCACCATGGTATTGTAGTCATTGTTGAATTCTTTATTGTTTTTTCAATGAATTTGTAAAGACAGGAAGATGGAAGAAGGGTGAGAGGTGTGGGATGGCTTTATACAGCAGAAGACGCCAAATATAAGATAGGAAAAGGTTGTGTTTTTGTTTGGTCTGGTTATGGAGTAGCGGTAGAGGGAATTATAAGAGGTTTGTGATGCTATGAATAGAATGGTGAAGGTTATTGCTGTTTTTATTATTTGATGAAAATTTAATTAAGTTGTTTTATACAATTACTTTTTGATATTAACAAATTTAAAATTTAAAATTTAACAATTAAAATTTTTTTCTTATTTTTATACTACAACTTCTTTTATACTAAAAAAATAATTAAGCTACATAGTAAGGAATTAATAATTTCATTATTATTCTGACAAAATAATTTGAGAATTGAGAGACATGTTTTTTTTTTTTTTTGTTTTTAACATAGGAAAAGGGTGTAAAATGAGGTATTATTATTGAGCAATATTATTTTTTATGTATAAAATCAAGATCTAAGGAAAATTAAAAATTTTTTTTTATAAATGTTGAAAATTAAATTCTCGCCTTATTGAAAATAATTTTTTAAAAAAGGTTGATGAATCATTTGGTTTAACCCTCAAGTTTTATTCGTAGCTATTAATTTATTTATTTTTATTGGGGGGGGCCAATATGATTATTTCTTTTTTATTTTCTAATTTATTATTTTAAACTGCTAGAAAAAACAGTTATTGTTGATAATTATATAGGTGTATCTTTCTTAATATGTACAAAATGAATATAAATCTTTATTTTTAGGTTTATTCAGTGACAATCTTTTATTCATTAATAATATAAATCTTAAAATAAATACAAGAAAATACATCAAATATAAATATTAAAAAATACAATTTATATCTTGTACTGTAATTTTTTGGGCTAACGTACTAGTAATTTTTTAAAATGTGTGACATCATAAAAAATAGACAAATTGGAAAGACTTATAGTACCACGTGCCGTTTAGTTTGGTATTTTCCCGATTCTTCTATTTTTTTATTTTGAGACGTCATCTTTGTTTTGCCGCTATTTCCCGCCAACAAGCGCGTAGGGTCAAGCCTAAACGCGGCCGTTTTAGATGTATTTTCTTTTCTTTCCTCCTGCATGTTAGACCAGCACTTGTTTTGTCCCTTTGTTTCTTGCCCTTTTCTTCCATTCTTCAATATCTGTGCAGTCGCTTTTGCCTGATTGCCTCCATTTTCAAATAAAAAGCAAGCCTTCACAGTTTCTTCATTCTTCAATGGCGGCAGAAGCAATAGACCCATTCCCAAACTATAGCAAAACCCAGCGCATAGTCCTCCTAATAGACTTAAACCCACTTCTCCAAATCCAAGACCCAAATCCATATATCAAAACCCTCATTTCTTCCTTCAAAACACTCCTCTCTTTCCCTCCTCTATCCTCTTCTCTCTTCTCTTTCAGACCCTTCTTTTCTTCTCTTTCCCCTCTCCTTTCCTCCTCAAAACTCCCATTTCCTTCCCTCTCTCTCTCTTTCAACCACCCAGATTCCACTCTCCACTCCCTCACTCATTTCCTCACTTCTCTCCCCACCATAATAAATAAAGCCTCCTTCCCTTTATACCCTTCTCGCGCTTTAAATCTTGCCGCCTCCTTGCGCCAGCTCGTGCATGACTACGCCTGGGACCCACTGATCCCCGATCCGGTGGCCGGTACGCTGTTCAACTCTGATAGCTCCCTTTTGATTAGGTCTAATTTGGTAATTTTGTTATCTCCGGTTTATAGGGACTTGAATTGGTTACATGAATTCTTTGATGTGGAAATGGATGATGAATGTTTGAGGGATTTGGGTGCTTTTGTTAAAGAGTTTCGTGGGGTTTTTGAGGGTGTGAATGATGCGTTTGTTAGTAGGGATATTCATTGTTGTTGGGTTGATTTGAAGTTTAAATCGTGGGAAAATGAAGATTTTGAAAATTTGGGGTTTGAGTTTTTGGAGAGTGGGATTAGGAGTTTAAGTTGGGGATTTTGTTCTACGGAATCGATTGTTTTAGGTTCCGCTCTTGTTCCTTTTGGACTGATTTATCCGATGATTGTGGTTTCGTCAAATTGTTTTCCTGGCTTTGATTTTAATGATGATTCTGGTAGAAGGAGAAATGTCCAATTGAGTCTTGAGATATTAGATGCCAATGGGAAGCCTTTAGAATGTAAGTGCTGTGAGCTTGGGTTTGTTAATTTCAAAACGTGTTCCAGAAGTAAACAAGGTGATGTTTTGTTTACACCTGAAGTCAGTAATCCACAAATGAGAGCTGATGACCAAAAGAATAACTCCTTGTTGGACCATTATTTTGATGGAGTAACAAAAGTGCGTGTTAAGGCACTGAGGATGAATGACGAGTGTGAGAAATTTGAGGGGTGCTTCTTGAATCCGATAATTGTTGTTGAATCCTTGGGAAAATCATGGAAAGATCCAAAAGATCATTCGGGTGAGTTTTATGCAGATAGAGTTCTTCAAATACTTGCAAGGGATATGGGTGAATCATTGGTGAGAAAACCTGTTCCCATTTGGCAAATTTTCTTGAGTTTTCTTTATAGGGAAGGTTACTGGGCATTGGTATCTTTTTCAGATGGCAATATTGATTTGTATACAGGAATCCTGAAGCCATTCACTGTTTTTTCGGCAATGCTGTGTATCATTGATGATGGGTTCCTCCCTAACAAGTTACTAGAATATGGTAGGGTGGATTTGGCTGCATGTGTTGCAAAAAGGGACAATGAAACTAACAAACTCTATGTTCATTCAAAGAACTCTGCCGGGTTTTTGAAGTCCCAATCTCATTCTTCACCTTCCCACAAGTTTGCCGCGAAAAGGAAGAAGAATAAAAAGAAGTTGCGTTTGCTTCATGACTTCACGTGGAGTGCCTTCTGTCAAGCAGCAGCTGAACATTTAGCTATAGATTTAGAAGCAAGTTACTTTTCCAGGGACTGCAATAACTCAAAGAAGTTAAAATTTCTGAAATGCTGGATGAAGCAGGTCCAAAAATGTAGTTCTTCCAGCTTGAAGATACCAGAGAGTGCCAAGCCAGATCAGGATGCTACAGAAGAAATTAATCATAGGCCAATTGAGTTGCCTCAAGATAGAGAACAGCTGGCCTCTTATTCTCAATCAGCAGGAGAAGGTTTCTCCAGAATGTTAGATGAAGCTGGTAATGATTTTTGTTCGGGAACTATCGAAAATTTCTTCAATAGTCTCCCTATTAAAATTAAACAAGGGATAGAATCGGGTGAAGTAGAATTAGGGGCTTTGGCAGAACGTCTTGTGAGTTCAACCATTTATTGGTTATATCAAAAGAATAAAATGGAAGGCATTTGGGAAAGTCAAACCTCTCTGGTGAAAGCTAATGATGCTTGTGCTAGCAAAGCTGCTGTTGAACTAATTGAACTTCTACTGAGGGAGCCAAAGGACTTGGCTGCTATGCATAAAATGAGAGATCCATCCTCTCAGGCATCTGATTCAAGGTCTTCTGGATCTGTTTCAGTTAGTGTAGTTAGAGAGTATCCTTTTTATTCCTGCATATTCATATGATGCACTGTTTCTTTACTTCATTTTTAAGAATAATTTCTCTTTTGTTGATTCTATGCTTGGCAAGGGTTTTTCTTTTCCTCTTGTAAGGTGAACAATGGGCTCAAATATCTGCAAATTTCCTTAATGAGAATAAGATATGAATTGCAGATTTTGTTTCGTATGGAGATTCTTCAATCAGAGGTCAGTGCAACTATTGAGGAGCCTACGAAACAGAAATTTGTAAAACAAATTTGCTCAACACTGGAGTCTATTCAGTGCCATCTTGAGGGTGGCTTTTTTGGTGATTGGAGACTTGACAAGTATGTGGAAAATATCATAAAGAGCAGGTATATATATCTACACTTATGAATGTGTTTTTCTTTATTTTACTGATATGTTAGCTCCATGAGGAGAAATGGTTTGTCATCTAAAACTTGAGGGAAAGTAGCATCCTTGATTGCATAGGTTAGTCCTTAGCAGGATATCGGCTGGCTTGATGAATCAGAGTAAAATTAAATTGTTATGTTGAATATAGTACCTGAATATAGTATGCTAACCTTAAACTGGATAGTACCTGAATAAAATATGCTGTTTTATGTAGTTCTCAGTAATTGACAGTGAGCCTAAGCATTATTGCCTTTTTCCTTGTGGAAGAAAGAAGCCTATTATTGCTGTTCAGAAAAGTTATAGGCGGAGATGCTAAATAAATTTTGAAACACATAATTTCAGGTATTATCATTCTCTCAGAGATGTAGTTGATAGAATCTATAAGAAGATGGATTTGTTGCTGTTTGACGATGAGGATGAATTGCCTAATCATTTACTCAACAGTGAGGACAGTAATCGATCCTGGAAAGAAAAACCAGAGGAAGATGTAAACTACAGAAATAATGAACCAGTTTCAATAGAAGATGAGTCCCCCCAACTGCAGAAAAATGATAACAAAAGAAGTCCCCGAGTGATTAGGACTAAGGAGGATGCCCTGAAATTGATTCAGGCTCAGGAGAGGAGGGAGAGGGCTCGGCGATTTTCATCATTTACAAGTTGGATGCCCGATTTGCAGAGAGTTTGGGCTCCAAAGCAGCCAAAGGCAATGAAACCCAAGTCTGATCCTCTTCGAAAACTGTCAAAAAGGAAGAACCGTAGCAGAGCAAGCTATGACATGGTATGTGAGACCCCAATGACAGCAAAAAAGCGGTCTAGCCCATGTGGAAACAGCATTGATGATGAAGAAGACAATGAAGACTGCAGAGCTCACTCTCATGGTCCTGTCTCAAAGGCTTTGTTCCAAGATGATATGCAATAAGAATCAAGGCTTTTCTCACTTACCATGCTGGCATGATGCCTTTAACACAGAACGTGGAAGGATGCAGAGCTCCTTTCAGGGAAGTTGCTGCCATGAATTCGCCATTTAACGTTGCAAAATTTAACCAGATAGGTTTATCTTAATCACAGCCTCTAATTATTTGTGAATTAGTTATAACTTGTTTATCATTAACCGAACATAAGGTTAGTTTCATGTAAACTTACAACTTAAACGTTGAATAAAAGATCTATTTTCTTTTTCTTTCTTCCGAAGAATAAGAGGTTTATTCTTATTTGTAAAGGCATTCCTTTTCATTTTTTTTTCATAGGCCTAAACTTCTTTTCTCTGAAATCTGAATCTTTGATGTAGTTTGGTCATTTATGTATCTGTGTCATACTTATTTTAAATTGAAAAGCATATAAAGTATAAAAATTATAATGTCAAATTTATATCAATATGTAAAATAAGAAATATATATTTTTAATTTTTATAACATTTATTTATATATAGTTTCTATTAAAATTTTAAAATTTTATATTATTTTTTAGTTTTTGTCAAATTTATATATAATTTTTGTTAAAATTTTAAAATTTTATATTATATTTCGGTGTGGCTTTTAAAATTATTATTTTAACTAGATAAAGATTTAACATTTAAGAATTACCTTGCCTTGGACTCCCTTTTGAATTACACTGCACCTCTAGCTGCAGTGTAGTTGTAATAAAAAATTTTGTTAAAATTGTGTCAATTGGGATTTTGTCATCTAAATGACTTGGCATTGATGACTGGCGAGTTATCTATTGGCCAATTTTGGTTTAGTTGATTAATCGGCCGGTAAGGGTTTTTAATTTTTTAATTTTTATTCTTTAGGTTTTATGATTATTTCGAAAATATCCTTAAATTGTTTTTTATTTTTTATTTAAAATTGTAAAATAATTTTATTAATTTAATATAATAAATAAAATTTATTATTTAATATATTAATAAATAATTTGAATAAATTTTATTAATAAAATTTATATAATAAATAAATCTTCAATAATTAAAATTTTTAATAATAATTTTTTATTTTTATTTTAATTTATCTCATCGTCCCTATTATTTATACATTTAAATATTTATCCTATTACTAATTTTAATCTAATTAATCTCATTTTTACGTTAGTTTTAATCTCATCGCTCGACCTAAGGAACCTTGAGATTCACTTGGAACAATCGGAGTTTACAGTAAATGATTAGCTGCCCAGCCCTTTGAGACGATTGGGACAAAAAATCACCCCAGCCAGCCTGTGCTGCAGTTTTAGGCAACCCAGTATTTTTGGTGTACCTTAAAACATGCTTGGCAAGAAAATTACTTGACTTGATCCAGCATTTCAAAAAATCTACATCAGCTAATGAGAGCTATCACTCCTCATTGCCGCCATTTCTCAACAGCCAATCAACTAAAAAACTTAGCTTCATCATCACCCCCAAAACCTGAATTTTATCCACCTATCCTCAATGAAGATTTTTGTGGTAAAATATTGGACCGATACCCAGATATCAAAACACTAAAAAAACTCCATTCCAAGATATTCAATGACCAACATCTTCGCTTCAACCTATCTCTTGCCATCAAATTAATGAGAGCCTATGCTGTTTGCAGGGAGCCAACACTCACACGCCACATATTCGATGAAATTACTGAAAAGAACATCGTTTTTTTTAACGTCATGATAAGAAGCTATGTAAACAACCGTTGCTATCACGATGCTCTTCTTATATACAAAGAAATTTCTAGTCATGGTTTTAGCCCTGATCATTATACTTACCCATGTGTCTTAAAGGCATGTTCCGGATCAGATAATTTGCGGGTTGGTTTGCAAATTCATAGTGCTGTGGTCAAAGTTGGTCTTGACTTGAATCTTTTTATAGGGAATGGGCTGATTTCTATGTATTCAAAGTGTAGATGTTTGGTCCAAGCGAGGCGAGTTCTTCATGAAATGCCAATTAGAGATGTGGTTTCTTGGAATTCAATGGTTTCTGGGTACGCTCAAAATGGATGTTTTGATAAAGCTTTGGATGTTTGTAGGGAAATGGAGTTATTGAGGATAAAACCGGATGCTGGGACTATGTCCAGCCTCTTGCCAGCTGTGACTAACACTTGTTCTGATAATATTTTGTATGTTACAGAAATGTTTTGGAAGTTGGCTAGAAAGAGTTTGGTTTCTTGGAATGTGATGATTGCGGTATTTGTGAATAATTCGTTGTCAAGTGAAGCCGTTGATTTGTATTCACAGATGGAAGCATATGGGATACAACCAGATACTTTTACTATTGCTAGTATCCTTCCAGCATGTGGAGATCTTTCAGCCATTTTTCTAGGAAGACAAATTCATGAATATATAGAGAGGAAGAAACTCCTTCCGAATTTGTCATTGGAGAATGCATTAATTGACATGTATGCAAAGTGTGGATGCTTACAAGAAGCAAAGGCAGTGTTTGATCAGATGAAGTTTCGGGATATTGTGTCCTGGACTTCTATGATCTCAGCATATGGGATGAGTGGCCAAGGTTACAGTGCTGTGGCCCTTTTCTCTGAAATGCAAAACTCTGGTCTGACTCCAGATTCTATTTCATTTGTCTCAGTTCTTTCGGCTTGTAGCCATGCAGGATTACTGGACCAGGGGTGGTATTTCTTTAACTTGATGACAGACCTGCATAAGATTCTTCCAAGGGTAGAACATTTTGCTTGTATGGTAGACCTACTTGGACGTTCTGGGCAAGTAGAGGAAGCCTATAATTTCATCAGACAGATGCCAATAGAACCTACTGAGAGGATATGGGGAACTTTGTTGGGTGCCTGCTGGATGCACTCTAACATGAATATTGGGCTTCTTGCTGCTGATCATCTTTCTCAATTAGCACCTGACCCATCTGGTTATTATGTCTTGTTATCAAACATATATGCAAAGGCTGGTAGATGGGATGATGTTACAACTGTTAGATCAATCATGAAGAGCAAAGGGATCAAGAAAATGGCTGGTGCTAGCAATACCGAGATCAACAATCAGGTTTATACCTTTCTTGCTGGTGATCAGTCACATCCACAGTCCAAGGCAATCTATGAAAAATTAGATTTTCTACTGGGGAAGATGAAAGAGGCAGGTTATATCCCTGAAACTCACTCTGCACTTCATGATGTGGAGGAGGAAGACAAGGAATGCCATCTGGCTGTTCACAGTGAGAAGTTGGCTATTGTCTTTGCCATTTTAAATACTAAACGTGGGACACCTATTAGAATCACCAAGAATCTTCGTATATGCGGGGACTGCCATATTGCTGTTAAGCTCATTTCACAAATTGCTGAACGTGAAATCATAGTCAGGGATACTTATCGGTTTCACCATTTCCAGAATGGTGTTTGCTCATGTGGAGATTACTGGTGACCAATTTGGAAAAGTGCTCCTGAATTTGCAAGATACTGGACTATAAGTAACAGAAATCAGTTGTCCTTCATTTAAATCAGGTTTGGCATGACTTGGTTGTATGTTGGTCTTGACACTGCGACTGCCGATGCCATGATTGTATCAAGGGACTGAATTTGGGACAAAGTGAACATTGATTATCCTAAATTGACAGCATTACCATAGTTGCTGATCCTAGGTCTGGTCAGTAGCCATACCTTGCTTTAGCATAGGCCCCAAAAATTTTATAGAATAGATTCCTGTCTAAATCTATAAGAGTGTAAGACCATTTTGATCATCTTTTAAGTGGCCTTCTCTCGTCATAGCAATTAAAGGGGAATGGTCGGTTCAGTGTCCTGAAGCCTTCATGATTGAAATAGGGTATGGCTTAATTGTGAGCTTTGACATCAGGTTCAAAATGCTGTTCATCTTGAGAGGTAGGTGGTCTTATATATTCTTCATTTAGCGTGCAAAGTTGGGCGTTTTATGCTTAGTTCTCCAGTGATACTGATTATAAGATTATTAGATGTTTTCTTTGTAGATTGGTTGTGAACCATAAATATCGTTTCTTTCCATGTTCTCACTTGATCTTGTATTCTCATATGAAATATGATGGACAAGCCGGAACTTGCAATTTCTAACATTTAGGGCCCTTTTTTCTAGGAACAAGTGTATTAAACTTCTGATTGATGATGGACATGGCTCGAAAACTGTTGCATTCTCATTTCTAACTCATACTCCTCATGCAGGTAGGACTTAACAGCCATATCCTTGTGTCTTGATGTACCGTGATAGAAACTAAATTTGCATATACCCAGTCAAGTGACCATCTCCATCAGGTTAGTTCAAACTGCACTCCACTTGTCACCTTTGGGCATCCCAGGCAGAGCGAGGTTGGCAGGTTCATGTTAGTCATATGTCTGGCTGGCAGATGGGTGAAGACTGCAAGAAGAGTTACCACTGCTCTACCAGTACTGTAGCAATAGAGCCGTATATTAGGGACTGTCAGATGACCTGAAACTTGCATGTCATCGCAGGAAGTGGAACTTAATGGTTGTTACCTTTATGCTAATTTGGCAAATGAATATCTAGAACATCATTGATTATTTATTGCAGGAACTGTCTGCGCTGTACTCCTATCAATCTAGATTTTATTTTAATCAAGCATTAGACCCGCGCTTAGCTGTGGAACAATTTTTATTTTTTAAAATTATATTTTAAATATGAGAGAAGTAAATTTTTTATGTCAAATTTTAATAAATGGTAAAATACAAACAAATATAAGTATATTTTTTAAAATATAGATTATAATTTAATTATATATAAATATAATTTTTTTATTAAATTAAATTATTAAATAATATTTTTACTAATATAATATATATAAATATGAATTAAATAAATAATAAAAAATATATTTTTTATATATTTTGAGAAAGGTTGGTGCAGAACATTTCAAGCCCAATCTTAATTTGATGTAAATTTTGATCCAATTTAAAAAGAAAAAAAACACATCAATTGAATTGTGATGAATTGAAATCTATGAATATAGGTTGTTTGTCATCCTTACATTAATTGATTTTTTCTTTGCAAAATTTATCTAATAAATAAAATTAAAAAAATAATAAAAAATTCAAATGAGATGATGGGTAAATTTATTAAATTAAAATATTAAATAATATTTTTTATAATATATAAATATAAAGTTAAATAAATAATCAAATATATTTTTATATATATGAAGTTCGAGATGTAATATCCAAAATTTTGCCTTCACCTAAGTTAGATTTAAAAAAAAAAAAAACTCAATTCAACTATCTTGAATTAAAAAAAAAAAAGTATATCAATTAAATCACATAAATGAAAATTTATCGGATACATGTTATTTTGTATCTTAATTATTTTATCATTTTTATCTCAATTGATTTTTTTATTGTAAAATTTATTTAATACAAAATAAAATTTTAAAAATCAAAAAACAAAATCTGAAAAAAAAAAAAAGAAAAAAAAGAAGGTGTCACATGGATACTCAAGATGTGATGAAACATTTTGAATTCCTCTCTAACTCAAACACATTTTTTAAAAAATATTCATTCGATTTCAATTAAAAAATATCTATATTAAATTGATACAAATTAAAGTTAATTAAATATAAATTAATTCATTATCTTTATTTTTATTAATTTTTTATAAAATTTATTTAATAAAAAATAAATAATAAAAGTTAAAAAATAAAAATAGAATAAAGAAGAGAGAAAAAAAGCATTAATTGAACACCGACACCTTCCTTCGTTTTCTACAAAATTAAGTACTAGATGGGTTCTTTAGTGGAAAATGTTAATGAATTCTAGTGGAAAGTCGATGGCTGAAAATTTCAAGTCCAGAGTCTCCTGGTTCTCGATGTTTGTGCGCCCATAGTTGACTTGACTTAGTATTGTTATACCACTAATGACTCTGACAGTCGATTATCACAAAAGCCCGCTCAAACATCAGGAACGAAGAAAAAGAATAAGTGGAGCGGTAACTTTGGTTTATTGACCTCTTGAAAAGCTTTGCATCCTGCTTTAGTAATTATCATAGAGGTTGATTTCATTTCAATAACGATCACACCGATTACTACATTTTAATCATATTAAAATATGATATATTTAAAAATATTTTTTTATAATAGGTTTAATTTTGAATAATATCCTTTATTTTTATTAATTTTGATTGATTTTGATAAATTTTGATAAATTAATTTATTTTGATTGGTACATAAATATAAAACATATTTTATAATTTATAATTTATTTTTTTATAATTTGATTATTTTTAATTTGATAAAAATAAAATTAATTCACAAGATAATAAAATTTTCTTTTTGTTATTGTAACTTATTTTTTATATTTTATTTTTAAATTAAAATTTATAAATATTTTAATCTTTTTTAAAAAAGTAATTGTACTCGATTTTTAAAGTTTAATAATTGTGATATCAAAGTTAATTTTTTCATCTCGTTATTTTTATTTTAATATTTATATAAAAATATTTCTTTAAATATCATTGGATCAAATTAAATGTTAAAAAATATCATAAAAATTTATGATATTATTTCTATACTTTTAAATTTATTTATTTTATTTTTTGAGATATTACATATTTATTTTATAAATTATTAATTATATTATAATGTATAAATTCATATATATATTTATATTAAATCAAAAAATTTAAAATAATTATCGAAACCACTAATACCAATAAATAACATATTTAAAAAAAATTTAAAATACTATCTTATTCGATGTTAACAATTTTGATAATTATTAGTTATCGTCAAATTGCTTTAAACTGGAATTTAATTAGGCTCTTGGTCAAATTTCTTTTTCTTCGGGTAAATAGAAAATGCTATAGTTTTGTCTTCTTCACACTTGGTTTTTTCTTCCGTGACGGGCATGGAGATACTATTCATTGACGTTGATTTGTTGACTTCAGAAACTTTTCTTTCTATTGGACGGACGGGCACTATAAAGACGAAGCCCATTAGCACATTGGAAGCACGTCTTTAGGAAAAATGGCAAGAAACTCTCAAACCGAACAGACGGTCTTCTTTCTTCTTTTATTCTTGGCAATAATATTTGAAACTTCCCATGCTGGTGGCATCGCCATCTATTGGGGCCAGAATGGCAACGAGGGCACCCTGACCGCAACCTGTGCCACGGGCAGGTATACCTACGTTAACATAGCCTTCCTTTACAAATTTGGCAATGGTCAAAGCCCTGAAATCAACCTAGCTGGTCACTGTAATCCAGCATCCAATGGTTGTACCGGTGTTAGCAACGACATAAGAAGCTGTCAAAGCCAAGGAATCAAGGTCATGCTCTCAATTGGAGGCGGTGCTGGCAGCTACTCTCTGGCTTCACAAGCAGACGCCAAAAATGTAGCCGATTATCTATGGAACAATTTTTTGGGTGGTCAATCCTCTTCCCGTCCACTAGGCGACGCAGTGTTGGACGGCATTGATTTTGATATAGAGCTTGGCTCAACCCAATATTGGGATGATCTTGCTCTTTATCTATCAGCCTACAGCAACCAGGGAAGGAAGGTGTATTTAACAGCTGCTCCCCAGTGTCCATTTCCTGACAGTTTTTTGGGGACTGCCCTTAATACGGGCCTCTTTGACTATGTTCGGATTCAGTTTTATAACAATCCCCCTTGCCAATACACTTCAGGCAACACTAACAACCTTGTCAACTCATGGAACCAGTGGACTTCATCCATAAAAGCAGGGAATATATTTTTGGGGTTACCGGCAGCACCAGCAGCGGCTGGAAGTGGGTATATTCCACCGAATGTGTTAACTTCTCAAATACTTCCGGTGATTAGGAGCTCAGCTAAGTATGGAGGTGTTATGCTTTGGTCTAAGTTCTATGATGATCAGAACGGTTACAGTGCCTCCATTGTGAATAGCGTGTGATCAAGTCATACTTGGTGGTGTACTCTCTTTTAAGACAGACTTTAGCTTGGTCTTCTCTAATAAATAAATAACTATAATAAATTGAGAGATGTCCTTATCAGTTTCCATGATTTAAGTAATGATTGATTCTCCTCATCGAATTAAAGAAATGAGCATGAACAACTTGCCTTTGTCCTTGTCTTTGTCTTTGCCTTTGTCTTAGTCTTACGCTCTCTACAACTTGGGCAGTGGTGTCTGAAGAGGGTGCCGTTGATGGAAATATTTGGTCTGGGCTACGGTCCGGTTTACAAGCCTAACTAGGGATGGCAGCGGGGCGGGGCGGGGCGGATTTTTGCTTTCCCCGCCTCCGACCTGAAGCCTTAGTGCTTCTACCCGATACCCGACCCGTCCCCGTTCGAAGGTTTTAGTGAAAAATCCGACTCCGACCCGTTACAAATATTATTTACCCGAATAAAACCCGACCCGACCCGACCCGTTATAAATATTATTTACACTGCAGGGATTTTTCAAATTTTTTTTTGTTCTTAAAGAAAAAGAAACCCGAAAAGATTCCTGGAAAACCTACAATCGTAGCTAAGGTTTTCCGATTCTGCAGGGCATTACTTTGTTCTTGAAAAGTTACAAAACCAATTTTTAAAACATAGCCTTTTTCAACTCTCTCAGATACGCAAAAAGTTTATCCAAAACCCCTCCCATGGTTTGCAAGCACATGGTTTGCAACAGAACATGGTTTCGAACAGCACATGGTTTGCAATAGAACATGGTTTCGAAAACAGCACATGGTTTGTAACAAAACATGGTTTGCAAGTTGCAACAGAACATGAACCAAAACAGCCGGTTAGCAGAGTTTCAGCTTTGTCTAAAATCGAAATTGAAACTATCCAAGTCTCTGTAAAAACTCAACATGCTCGACATAACATTAACAGTAGAGGGTAAGGAGATGATTTTGGCTTACCTCAAAACTGCTGTCTGCTGGTATCCTGGCACTGTAGAGATTACAAATGGTTGCGACTCGTCTATCTTTCTGTCCTGTTAACTTTACTCTTTCTAGCTTGATGGCTTTTTTTGTTGAAATAGAGGAAAGATTCGAAGGAAGAAAGCTAAATAGATGGAAGTTAAATGGATGAAAACATGTGGGATGGCTGGAATTGGATAGGTGGATGAGAAATTTTGAACAAATCGAAAGAGATGAGAATGATAGGACGGACGAAAAACAAAAACATTGAAAGCAATCGAAACTCAGAAACCCTAAAAAAAAATTACATATATATATATATTAAGGGTTATTTTAGTAAATATCTTGGGTCGGGTCGATTCGAGTTTCATATAAACCCGACCCCGACCCGAAACCGACATTTCAAAAATTAAATCCGACCCGACCCGAAACCCGTTTTTTTTAAAAAAAAAAACCCGATCCTAAATTATCGGGTCGGGTCGGAATCCGACGGATTCGAGTAAATTTGCCGACCCTAAGCCTAACCTAAACAGCGCTCAGATACAATGCCCAAAAGGACATGTTTGGGTCCAAGAATGGGTTCTTTGGAACATTCTCTTATGGCAAACCCTTTGATTTTTTTTTTCCATTTTTTAAATTGTTAGCTGTTCCAATATTCCAATTTTGGAGCCAAAAGCTATCTCAACCTTCCAATCATCACACATTTTTGTTAGTACGTACTAATCGATTATTGCTTCTTCGATAGAATTCGTAATTGTAAAATTATATAATTGAAAATCTATTTATAATCACCCGATAGCTACGAACCTTTTTTTTTGGGTTCAAAGCTATGAGCCATTTTGTTGAAAACTGATTAATGCAACTCAAAATTTTACTTCTAACCCAAAGTATTTTAGAAGGGCGATAAAAGCTTTTGAAGGAAAATATTACTAATCTACGGAGATTTTCAATGAAATTATCAATACTTTTGTCACTCTTGAAAAGTTAATTGTTTTATTAGTCGCACTTTAAAATTTAAAAAAAAAAAGTTCTTTTGACGAGAAATTACAAGCATTAGTATATAAGAAATAAATGAATAAAAATTAATTAAATAAATTTAATATAAAATTAAATCAATTTCACATATGATAAAATTTGAACTTAAAATTTTAAAAATTCAAAAACTTACACTTTACAATTGATACAATAAACAAGACTTCATTGACAATGGTTGATCTAACTATTAGTATTAGTTCTCAATCTAAACTAATAAAATCTATTTTCCTTCGTTGTGAGAAGCATCAATTTTTTTATTTTTAAAAGTATAAATCAGTAAATTTTTGTATTTAATAAATTTTTAAAATAATTATTTTAAATTAAAATTTTTTTCAACGATAATATTTATTTTAAATTCTTTTTTTTATTTTTTTAATATTTAAAGCTATTAAAATTTTAATTTTAATTACTAAAATTAAAAATCTAACATTTTTACCAATAAACTTGTGGACACCTATTTTGTCAAAAAAAAAAGTCAAAAAAAATTTTGATTTCAACTCTGACAGCTAAAATCAAGTTGCTAGAGTGGTTTTTTTTTTTTTTTTTTTATCTTTGACTACAACCTAATTTTGCGGCATAAGTTAAGGAGCTATGAAAATCTTCCTGAATCCCAGATTGTTTGGGATTTGAAGATTCAAAAATATTCTATAAAATCGAGCCATAACACATAGGGAAGGAAGAGAGGAAAGCCTAGGGTTTCTATAAAAAAAAAAAAAAACGAGAGACATAAAAGAAAAAAACACAATCACAGTCCTTTTTAATAGAGGAATCAGCAACAAACACGTAAAAAATTAAAAAATATGAAAAAAAAATCTCAAGAATAAAATTCTTAATTTAGGAGATTTGAGAATTTCTTTTGGAAAATCTGTTTAAGAAAGTGTTTAGAACAGAAAAAAGAGTGATTTGGGAATTTTTGAAAATTTTTAAAAAAATTTTTGGGTTGCTAGATTTAGGAAAAATTTGGAAAATTTTGACAATCAATAAATTTTTCGATGCCCGTTTGAATTTTTTTATAACCAAAATATGGAAAATCCTTTAGAAACTAGGTATCTTTGAATGTTTTGATGTTGTTTGAAGATTTCAACTACCGGTGCACGACGACAATCAATCGAAATCTAAGCTTCATGATGGTCGACGAAGGGGCTGGATTTTTAGAGAGAGGGGCTTTGATTTTTTAGAAAGAGAAGGGAAATGAAAAAATTAAAAAAAAGAGGCATTTTATAGGTACACCAAAATGACATCGTTTTACCATATTAACCCGCCCTTCAACTTGCGAGGATTTGTGTGGGACTTGCCAAAAGATCTGACCTGTATGTAAGTTTTTCTTTTTTTATTTTCCTTTTATTTTTTGATTTTGATTTTATTTTTTTTGTTTAATATATTTTTTTTACAATTTATGATTCATAATATTTATATATTTATATATATATAATTTTTTTTACTAAAAATAAATAATATTAGTAATAATAAAAAATGTAAAGCAATAAAAAAATAAATACTAAGATTTTAATTTAAAATAAAAGGATAAATAAAAACAATAATATTAAGGAAAAGTAAAAAAAAGCTTTATTTTCCTATAATTTTAAAACAAAATATTATTTAAATTACACGAAAGTATTAGGATAATTTAAAGAAATAATTTTTGTTCAAAAATAATAAAATAAAAAATAAAAACTAAAGAATTGTTTAAGTCAATTTTTTAAATGTAATTTTTTTAAAAACAAATTAAAAGAATTTAATTTTCTTATTGTAAGTAAAAATAAATTTTTGGATATCTCTACAAAGTCGAAACAATCTAAAATTATTTTTACTAGAATAAATATTTATTTAAACAATATTAAAACCATAAAAAATAAAAAATAAAAAATAAAAGTGTTTTTTTAAAATTAATTTCTTAATTATTACCAAAATATATTTTTTAAAATTTCATTAAAAAGTTGGGATAATTCAAAAAATATATATTTTTATTAAATAAGATTTATTTAAATGATAAAAAAATGATGAAAATAATAAGTAATAAATAATAAATAAATAAAAATCAACCAACTATTTAATTAAATCCTTCGGGTAAAAATTTCAAAAAAATTGAAAAAATCTCATTTTTCTTAATTATCATCAATAATAAAAAAAAAGTTTTAGGATCTCAACAGAAAGTTGAGATGATTCTAAAATCTATTTAAAATTTTTAAGATTTCGTAAAAGAGTCGGGATAATTCTAAAATTTATTTAATAAATTTTAAGAACTTGTCAAAGAGTCGAGATGCTTTTAAAATCATTTTAATAAATAAATAAATAAAATATTTTATGAAAAATTTTCAAAAATTTTGTGAATGGTAAATTTTTTTGAAATATTTTCTAAATAAAGAATTTCTATAAATTCCAAATGTTGGAGAATTTATAGAATATGAAATAATAATAATGTTAATTTCACAACAAAGAAATGTTTTTGTTTATAAATAAATTTTAGGAAATTAAATTTAAATATAAAGAAGACCATATCATCAAAATCAAATGATTATACATGTTTAATTGGTACTATTTTTCAAATGGGTGACGTGAATGTGCTAATACTTTTTTCACTTGTAACTGTACTCACGGACTTAACCTTGATTTTATAGACCTAAATTTATTTTAGCAAATCTTAATTAATTTTAAGATTTTTATTAAAAGATGATATTTTTGGGTGGCCAATCACACCCTATAAAAAATATTTGTGGCGACTATGAAAATTTTCATCAAGTTTGGCGATCAAGTCCCCCTAGATGAAAAATCATTATGACAGCTTGGCGACTCTGTTGAAAAAATTTGAGAGTCAAGTCAAAAATTAAACATGTATCATCCAAACCTTGATTTTTGATCTTTTTGATATTTAATTTTAATTTCTTATCTCATCTTAGAATAAAAATAAGGAAAAAAAAAGGTTAAAAATATGATGGATTCATTTAGTTTTATTATGTCATTTTATTTATCTTATATTGTTGCTAATTATATTGTTGATTTTATTTTGACTAATAATTGTTACATTCCCTCACACACATGTATATTTGCATTCATGCATGAACTTTATACCTCGGCTCTCAAATCTATCCCTTTTTAAGAGGGAGTAAAGTACCTACGCTTTCATAAGGTTATAATGCCTTTGCTTGGACTAGCAAAATACTTTCACTCAAGTTAAACCCTTTTCGTTGGTAGCCCATTATGGGTGAGGACTGGAGGCCTTACTAGTCCAGAGTGGATGATAGTGGAGATCAATTTGAAAACCCTTTTTTAGCCAGTGTTAATTACCAAACCCCT